AGAAACAAGAAGGTTGACTTACCAATGACAAGGACAATTAAAGAGAACTAGGGTATATTTTGGTCCACGATCTAATTGATCCACAAATAGAGCTTTATCTTCCGGTCACACTGATGATACTTCGAGGTTTTCAGATATGGAGAACTCGAATGTGTACTGCACTTCCATCGAAATACTATTAGTTGCGCAGTGACCAATAGAAATGAAGTTATAGGAAAAACGACTTTCTTAGGGTAAATCAAGGGAAAGAGTTCAAACTTGAGCTGTATTCGGCCCATGTCCTATTGGTTTGGCAACGCGCAATAGAAATCAACATTTTAAATGGTAGATTTCACAGTATTATTTTGATATTCAGACAGTCTAGGATGATTGATTTGTATGATTCACTTTTTGAAGTACACATAACTCTCGGATTTAAATCCGAAGTTTCCGCATTTATTTTGTTTTTATCTTTGTTTTAGTTAATAACATGTTCTGGTAATGGAAAAGATTCATCATTACGTTTTATTCGAACTGGTATTGGAATTCATGAACATGCATCAATTGATTTAAGAAATATAAAAGGTTTTATTTTAATGAAATAATTATTTTATTTGAAGACTTTATTTTTAGGAATTTGGGCATTAAAAGTAGATAATCATTATGATAATCATCTTATTGTTGCTTTCTTTGACCAAACAAGGTAAAAACATTTTTTATTTTTTTTTATAATTTATTTAATAACATATTTTCTTATATGTTATTTAGATTATTTCATTTACAAAATGATGAAATTGAAGAAGTTGAATTAGCTGGTTTTGATTTTCAACATCAAACATTATTTTGTGCTAATGTTGTATCAGATCAATATTTACAAGTAAAAACTCTTGTTTTTTTTTTATATATTAAAACTTTTTTTTTATTTTTATTTTTGTTCTAATTAGATTACAACACATTCAATTCGTTTAATTGGTAATTATGGTAAAGATTTACTTGTTGAATGGACAAATGATCAAAATGAAATAACTGTTGGTTCATCAAATACAACACAATGTGTATGTGCAAGTGGAAATCAATTAATTTATTTTGAAATTGGTCGAGCTAGTTTAAGTGAAATAAAGTAACTAAAAAAAAAAATTAAAGAAAATAATTCTTTAAATATTTTTTTTTTTAGTAAATGTAAATTACCATATAATATAGCTTGTTTGGATGTAACACCATTAAATCCTCAAGAAGAACGTACAAATCTTTGTGTTGTTGGTCTTTGGACACAAATATCTGTTTGGATGTATCGTTTACCAACACTTGATGTATTACATAAAGAACCATTGACATCAGGTAAGATAATTTATAATTAATGATCTAATCTAGAAGTAATAGTCAATGATGATTTGATAATAAAATTATCATACTTATATTTAGATACATTACCACGATCAGTTGTAATGATAACATTTGATTCACAACCATATGTTGTAATATCATTAGCTGATGGTCCTATTGTTTATTATTTACTTGATACTGTACAAGGACTTTTATATGAACGAAAAAAAGTTGCATTAGGTACAAAACCAACAACATTAACAATTTGTCAACGTACAGATTTATCACCAAATACAATAACATCATCATCATCAAATGATCCATCAACACAACGTACAGTTCTATTTGCATGTAGTGATCGTCCATCAGTAATATCATCATCAAATACAAAACTTGTATTTTCTGCTGTTAATTTACGTGAAATTGTTTGTATGTGTTCATTTCATTCAGAATTTTATGGACCAAGTTTAACATTAGTTACTGATATGGGTGTTATACTTGGTCGTATTGATGATATACAAAAGTTACATGTACGTTCATTAGGATTAGGTGAACCAGCTAGACGTATTGCATTTATGGAAGATGAAAAAGCTTATATTATTTTAACACAATATTTGGATATGTATCAAACAGATACAATAACACCTATTAGTAAACAAGCACATCAAAAAATTGATTGTCCAACAACAATAAAAACTCTTAATGAAATTATACCTCCAACACAAAATGATATTATTGATTCTATTGTGATTTTAGATCAACATACACATGAAGGTATATATATATAAATTTGAGAAATATGAATTCAATAGTTATATTGTTTGATAGTTAATAAATGAAATTATTTTATTGTCAATATCAGTCGTTTTTAAGAGTGAGGTCATCTTATACATAGAATATCGTCCCTGTATGAAGAATTGTTGATTTTGATGTCATATTTCTCGTATCTAGTTAGAATATCTGAATGAAATGTGGAAGATTTAACAAGTGTTTTTTGAAACGTTAATTTTTTTCTTCATATTAATTCTTTTGTAGTGATTGATTAATATGTATTTATTAACAATTAGTATAAGAAAATTATCTTAAAATTTTCGATAAGAAGAGTGTAGTCTATTGTTCCTTCGATTATGTATAATTTTATATGATTTGATTTAATAATCATTTAAAATAAAAGTTTGTTTAGATTCAAACGCATTTGAATATTAGTCACTACAATAAATTTTAATAAGTTCTTAAACAAAAACTTCATGAAGAATTCGTTCACTATATTTACATGAATATAATATTGGAATACAAATCGTAGTATTAAGCTCATAGTATGGAAGTCTAGATAAGACTACTAATAGTCTAAAAGAATTCATCTCCATGGACTTTTGAAGCCCATCTATCATCATTTTACTGAACTTTCGACTCAGCCTTAGGTACCTATTGAAAAATGAAAAAAACAAACTTTCGATATGAGACTTCTTTTACATAAAAATCTAAAGACCCTCAGAAACTTCTGTATAAAACTTAATATCTTGATAAAAGAACGTCGTTTTGAGTAGAAAATTTTAGAACCATCCTTTGACTTATATATGAATCAAATTTCACGTAGAAATCCTGTTTATTTTTCTTTTAAGCTCGTGTATCAGTTCGATTATTATATCGTGAAGAAGCTTTAAGTGTATCTGTAATAACATTTGCTGATGATCTTTCAACACCATATATTGCTGTTGGTACAGCAGTTATATTTGAAGATGAAGATACACCAAAAATTGGTCGTATAATTTTATTTCGTTATAAAAATGGTCATTTAAATATCATTACAGAAAAAGAATTAAATGGTGCACCACATGCTATGATAGCATTTCAAGGCAAACTTCTTGTTGCTATTGGAAGTTCTGTAAGAAAATATGAACAAAAAAAAAATTTAATTATTATTTTTTAAAATATAAAAATTTAGATTCGTTTATATAAATTATCATCTCAAACTCATGAATTAACACAATTAACACAATATTTAGGACATATTGATTGTTTACAAGTTAAAATAAAAGATGATTTTGTTTTATTTACTGATTTAATGAAATCTATAACTGTATTACGTTATAATGTTGATGATGGAAAATTTGAAGAAGTAAAAAAAAAACAAAACAAAATAAATTATTTTATTTCATTTAAAAAAAAATTTATTTATTTATTAGATTGCTCATGATGTACATCCACAATGGTCAACAGCATGTGAATTTTTTGATGATGATACATTTATATGTGCTGAAGATGGAGGAAATTTAATATCATGTCATAAAGATAGTGGTTCAACAAAAGAAAATGAAAGAAATATATTAAAAGAACTTGGATTATGTCATTTAGGAGAAAATATTAATGTATTTCGACATGGTAAAACAAAAAAAAAAAACATTTTTCTATACATAAATATTGAATTCAAAGAATCTATATATATTGTTCAGTGTCTGTCTGACGTCTCTGTGCCCAGGTCAAATAATCTTATAAGCGGAAGGCCTCAAGAGCTATTATATAGGGGAACCCATAGGTCCTCAAGGGCTGTTATATAGAACTACCCATAGGTCTTCAAGACCTATTATATAGGGTACCCATAAGTCCTCAAGAGCTCTTATATGAGGGTTCCCATAGGTCCTCAAGAGCTATTATATGGGACTACCCATAGATCCTCAACAGCTATTATATGAGGGTATCCATAGGTACTTAAAACCTATTATAAGGAGGTACCTATAAGTCCTCAAGGGCTATTATATCGTATATCTATAGGACATGAAGAGCTATAATATGGGGATAGCCATAGGTGCTCAAGGGACTAAGGCAATAAGGGGATAAGGCTACAATAGCTACAAGGGATACAAGGCTATAAGGCTGAAGGCTACATGGACTATAAAAATATGTGCGATATAAGAGTATGAGACCGTAGGACTATCTATCTATATACATAATATCGAGTGTCTGTATGTTTGTTCCTGCATGAAAAGTTAAACGTCTTAGGTTATACGTTAAAGGAGAAAACAGCCGTGCAGTATGCACGGGCTCTCGCTAGTTATTTAAATCTATGGATTATTTTCAATTTAGGTTGTCTTGTTACACAACAAACAGCTGAATCAACAGTATCACTTGAAACATGTACTTTAATGGGTGGTGTATCAGGTTATATTGGTCTACTTCTTCAATTAACATCAACATTATATCAATTATTAATGTCATTACAATTAGCATTAGCTGATTATGTTCCAAGTGTTGGTAAAATTGATCATGGTGCATGGCGTTCATTTGAATCTGATGGACGTTCAGATGTTTCATGTGGTTTTGTTGATGGTGATCTTATTGAAACATATCTTGATTTACCAAAATCAGTACAACAAGAACTTATACAAGATTTACGTGTATGTTTATTTAAAAAAAAAGTTAATTTATTTTCTAATTAAAATTCAATATTTTATGGTTTTTCTCTAGGGAGAAAATAATATACCAATAAATACAACTGTTGAAGAACTAGTCAAAATAATTGAAGAACTTGCACGAATACATTAAATTAAACATTTATATATATATATACATATTTTTGCGCATGTGTGTGTAATTCCTTTCTTTTTTTTGTAACCCTTGATTTGATCATAAGAAAGCCTAGCGAAAAAGAAAACAAATCATATTCTCTATACTTGTATTTAAAAAAATCATTATTTTAGATGGTTTTAGTGATTAATGGACATGAATATTCAAAACAATGTTCACTTGAAGATTTAAAACAATGTAATGATTTAATAAAAGTTTCATGTGAATTAGCTTCATCCGATGAATTAAAACAACCAATACAAGAAATATCACAAACTATTTATGTTTATCAGCGTGAATTTGCTGTTATAGGAAAAAATGATCGAAATGGTTTTCATTTAATTGGAAGTGATAATGCAACAACATGTCATATACTTGTGTTAGATAATCAAGTTGCTGTTGCATTAGCACATTTAGATGGTGGTGAAACACGTCAGAGTATTGAAAATATGTTACAAGAATTAACTAAATATGCACCAGAAAATACAGAGTATGATGTGTATATTGTTGGTAAGTATGTAATATTTCATAAAATTATTAAGAAATAGTAAATTTCAGTTTTTCTATAAATGGTAAAAAAAATCCTTTGAATATGTAATTATCTATTCTTTTGAATCCGATCATTCCAAAAAAAAGGACTAAGAAATCAGACGTTTGCTCTCTTAAGGATGGATAAAGATAAAAGAGTGTGGGTGTGAATGACAATGTCAAGTATTACTATTCATCGATCGAATAGTACAATAACTCATCAGTCTAGTGTTAGTATGGATTGTAGTCCGACAACTAGCCTTAAAAATGGAACAAAGCAGTTGATCTCTTCTTGTTCGTCTATGAGAAGCAACGATCAACTTTTCTAGTTATTCATTTATGTGTTTATAAGTCCCTCATTTATTATTCTTCGTTATTCTAGATTGATGTCTTTTACGAAGAAACTTTCCTAACTGATTAATTACTTTTTAGTTGAGACTATGTGCTTCATGTAGATCGTAGTGAACTATGAATACGCTAGAAGAAGTTCGAATTCTCAGCTTATTATTATCGAGATACTGCATTCTATAGTATTTTTTACCTCGATACCCTATTCTACTCAGGAAAACTATATTGTCAAATTTCAATTTCAAACCTTCCGTAGAGATTAAGTTTAACGTGAATAATTTATTGTGAAAGTTTCAGATACTCTCTCTCTGTTCTTATCGTAAGATATAGTTATCACAAAAGCTTGTCTTTTATATTGTTCATATATACACTGGTAGATTTTATGTTCTTACTTCAGACAAGAAGTAAATCAAAAGACTAGAAATTTTTACAGTAAACTATTCTCATTAAGATCTGCTTCTATACAAAGTTAGTGCATATAGGGTGTGGGTATGGTTTGAACATAATAGCTGCATCCAGACCCGCATCCATTCACACCCACACCCTTACTAGGTCTTCTCTAGGTGCCACTTTGCATAGTGTTAGCTTTGATGATGTCTCTTTTTTCTCTTCTCTTATGTGACCATATATTTATGTAGAAAAAATAATTACAACTGGCGTGATGGAAGTAAGTTAATGAAAATCGTTGCCAAAAGTATAACTACTAATGCATTTCATTACAATCTTCTTATTGAAAAAAAATCTGGTTAGGTGAGTTTCTTTGGAGCTAAAAATGGATGATTGATCGCTAAACAAGCGATATCTTTTATTTATTTCTGCATTGTAAATGAAAATTTTTTCTTATTTCTTTTTTTAAATAATTTTAGGTGGTTTTCTTGATGAATCACGTCGACAATATTCTCGAAACTTAAGCAATGAAATCCTTTATATATTTTCTACAAAGCCAAATATTACATTTCATTTGAAACTTGCAGCAATAACAATCTATAATGATCATATAGTTGATGATATTCATTATCCACATATATATGGTATTTGTTTTAATATTAATACAAAAAATATTCGTAAAATGGTTTTTATTGATAATGGACCAGGATTTCGTTTACGTACAGTTTATCAAACAGCTGATAGTCATCCTGCATGGTGTATTTATTCATCATTGGAAGGAAAACTAACAATTAAAAAATTTGATATAGATAGAAATTCACTTGTACCGTATTATAAACATTTACATAAATATTTTTTTCATAATAATCAACAATTACTTGCAATGACATCAACATCACCTGAACAAGAACGAGATACATTTATAAAAAATATGAAAAAAACTATTTTATATATTATAAAATATTATAAAGATATTCCGAAATGGTTTGATGAACAAACACATTCAATTATCTATTATCATTCAAATGATGAATGGATAACGGATAATAAAAAAATTATTGATGATAATGAAATTAAATAAATCTTCTTTTCTAGTTTGGACTTTTTTTTGTTTTTGCAAATATTTTTTTAGATAAAAAAAAAAGGAAGTCCAATGTGGAAACGATTGGTTGATGTAAATAAACAACGTTTATTATCATCCGTACAATTATTTAAAAGATTACAATCATCAACACAATATTATCCTATTAATGATGATGTTTATGGACTTACAGATGATCAAAAACAGGTTTTTAATTAGATTATTTTGTTATTATCAATTAGTTTTTGATTATATTAGTTAAGAGAAACTGTATTTACATTTGCACAAAAAGAATTAGCCCCACATGCTAATACTATTGATCGTGAAAATTCATTTTCTCAACTTCGTGTAAGTTTTGAAATTTCGACATTTTTTTTCAAAAGAAAAACTACTTCTTTTTTGTTTAGGAATTCTGGAAAAAACTTGGTGAACTTGGTCTGTTGGGTATTACAGCACCTGGTAAATAAATATGAAATTTTCTCTGTATGTGATGAGACAAGTATTGAACAAGTCAATAACATGTTCAGTTTCATAGAGTCTTGATGCTAAAAATATTTGCTAATATTTTGAGATTGAACAACTATCAGTAAAGTTTATGAAAGAAGTTCAAAATTTTGTCTATACAAAGCAAAATAGCGATTTTGATACGATTCTTAGTTTGTGTCATGAAATAGCTTCAACTAAAAATTATTCTAGAACTCTCAATAATTTTGTACACAATGGAATATTATACTAAGCGAACGAAATTTCATACATTAAAAATACAAAAGCTTTTAAACTCTGCGATGCAATAGATTATATCCAATTAAGATATTTTGTGAATCATTTTAATATGTTCACAGATCAATAGTATATTATACAATTGAAGAGAGCAACGGATAGGTCGTCTGTTGTGAAAGAAGCTGAGTCACGATGAGTTTCTTTCTCTTGTCGCTCGCAGTCACCACCTCGAGAACTTTCTGCCAAACGTCTTGCCCCTTGTATCACTAGAAAAAAACAGTGACAACACTAGCCTTGTTTATGTTTAAGATGAATAAATGTTGATTGTTCATGATAGAGTTATAAATCTGCTATTATCTATAATTTGGTAAAAGAAAGGCCATAGATTTATACACAACTTCTCATCATAGTAAACTTAATGATATTCATCACAGAAAAAACAAAACTGAATTGTGTTACTTATGAGATTATGAATGTTTCAACCTTACACAAGTTCGATTATAGAGATTCTATTCATTTAATTTTTTCCAATCATTTAAAAAAAAATATGATTTTTAATAAACGTTAAATTCTCATATGTATGAATTTTTACTATAGTTGAATATGGTGGTTTGGGTTTACATTATACAGAACATTGTATTGCTATGGAAGAAATATCACGTGCAAGTGGAAGTATTGCTCTAAGTTATGGTGCACATTCAAATCTTTGTGTTAATCAAATTGTACGTAATGGTAATGATGAACAAAAACAAAAGTATTTACCGAAAGTTAGTCAGTAATCTTCATCTATATAAATATCTTTTGTTTTGTTTTGTTTCATTTTTAGCTTATTAGTGGTGAACATTTTGGTGCATTGGCCATGTCTGAACCACATTCAGGCTCTGATGTTGTTTCAATGAAATTACGAGCAGAAAAAAAAGGTTTGTTAAACACTCTTTCATACAAACCTGCATGAAATTTTTAGGATATATATTTATGGACCTTTCAATCAGAGTATATTTTTTGTCTTTTTTTTGTTTGACGGAGTGTGCCAGGCAAGAGAACATCTCAAATTCTTACTATTTTACTATACGTTTAGGGTCCAAGGACAAAAATGAGAGTATTAAAATCAAGAATTCTGTAAAAATCCTACAGCTTGACGCACTTCAATCCATAAAAGAAAAATAAAATATATAATAATTATAATATCTAGCTGAAAGTTTCAGTCGATCTATATATTCATTACCAAAAATAGATTTTGTTTTTTTGAAGAGTACTTAACAATTATCATTTATATGAATCACATTTAATGATAATCAACAAGAGCTTTTTATAAACAAATATTAAATAGTATCGTTTTTTTTTCTAATTATTTTAATATCGTTTTGATATTTTTGTATGTATACTCAAACAAGAATATCTATTAATTGATTTTTTACAAGTTTTTTAATGAGTAGTCTAAGAATGACAATGAAACGGTCGATTGATTTTTCAATGGCATACTATACATAAATATATTCTTTTCAAGCATAACAGAGAAGAAAACACATACACGATGATAGGAAATAGTGAAGGTTCCTCCTACACACAAACTTACGGACCAACAACATTTACTGGTTTACCGAATAATTGGAATCAAGGATCACAGTCTATTCAACAATCTCAACAATCATCTTATTATGATTCATCATATCAACATGAACAACAACATTATCAACAATCAATCATCGAACAAAATAATTATAAGTTTCCAATTTTTAAACTTTATGATTTCGGTCGAAATAATCGAAATGATATAGTACATTTTATATTTTCTTTTGTCGGTATACCATTTACTGAAAAACGTATAAAACAAAATGAATGGAATAGAGTTAAAAATCTAATACCTATTCAACAATTACCTATTTTACGTGTTAATAAACAATTTAAACTCTATAATCTCAATGTTATTGTACGTTATTTAGCACGAGAATTTAATTTATATGGTACCGGAAATTATGAACATGCTATTGTTGATATTATTCTTGAATTAACTCGTCAATTTCAAGAAATTTTTTTTGAACAAATTAATAAATCAACTAATGTTGAACAACAAAAAATATTTTTAACTCAATTTATTACTGATCATGCAACAAATTATTTAAATCAATTGGAAAATAGTTATGAAATATTTCATTATAATGGTCCATTTTATTTAGGTTCTCAAATTTCAATAGCTGATTTAATTGTTTATCAAACAATTAGTTATTTAATTGATATTCAACCAAAATTACTTGATAATTATCCTAATTTACAAAAAGCACGTTATTGTTTAGAAAAATATCCTCAATTAACTAATTATCTAAATAAAAAACATTTTAAAATCAAACAAAAACGTCATGCAACTGTACCACCAACATTACGTCAAGTAAATCATCATCAACGACATCGATCCTATGATGAAAATAAATCTTCTCATTATCATCATCGTCAAAAATCAAATGAACCAACAACACCATTACAAATAAAAGGAGAACCAAAATCATCTAATAATCAATCAATTGAAAAACGTCCAACACGTTCAGTACAAATCATAATGGAACCAAAATCACGTAGTTCTCGATCGACTGAAAAAAATTCAATGACTCCATTACAAATAAAAGAAGAACTAAAACTAGCTAATATTCAGTCGAATGAAAAATATTCAATACCTCCAATGCAAGTAAACAAAGAACCAAAATTATTTAATACTCAATCGATTGATAATAGTACAACACATTCTTTATTAACAACACAAGAATCAAATATATCTAGTATTCAATCACAAGAAAAAGAACCAATATCTTCTTCACAAATAATTGATGTCATACCATCATCATTAGATGTTGTTGAAGAAAAATTTCCATCAGCTGCTAATTAATTAACTTTATAAAAATCATTTTAGTTAGAGAAATAGATTGTAGTAGACTATACTTTTTATTCATAATTTCACTTATTTCATATTTAATAATTTTTCAATTTTAATTGAACAGATTTTAAATGAAGTTTGTTCAAAAGAATTTTTAGTAGAAAAATAGATTTTTCTTGTTCGGACGAAAAGAAAATATGATAATAATTATTTTGATTTTATCCATATCCTTTCATATGTACTTCAATGTGATACTGAATACAACTCATCACAGATACGATCGGTTTTTTTCTCGCTCACTGATGAAGACTCACTTGCACGACTTATCTCTAAAAATCTAAACAACATGTATTCATATGAATGTGCAGTGTTGGTGTAAATACGGAATAGTGAGTCACCGCGATTGAATCTATTGAGGCATTGACACTCGCTTTCGCTGCAACATTCAGACACGAACTCTATCAAAGTATATTCTTATTGTCACGCCACACTTTCAATACATCATTGTACACCAAGTCGACAACGTCGATGCTAAATAAATTGAAGCTACACAACCCTGTATGATTCTCTGATTTAAGTTATTTTCTGCTTTAGAAGATCTTTTTTTTTAATAATTAGCATAAACAATTAAAAGATGGAGTCAGTCATTTCTTTTTTATGAAAAGTGAATGAAAAGTGAATGAAAAGTGATTAAAAACCAAGTATTAATCATCAATCTTAGCTTGGATTGAAATTTATTCAGTAATAACTATAGTTGCTCCGTAGAAAAGAATATTTTCTCTACATGTCATTATCTAGCAATCAACCAAATCCACGTCACAGATCGTATTTGTTCCAAAATAGATACCATAAAATGATCTTCTTAGGATTAGCAACAGCAGCTATGTACTGTTTTATACTTTAATCCTGCAGAGATTGCGCTAACAGATTTGTATTTTTATTATTTTTTTGTACGGTTCGTTCAGCTTATTTATTTTATGTTTTTTTTATAGCGATTGATTGTAATCACCTTCGAGTGTTACAATAAAAGAAATATTAAAACCAAAATGAATATTAGTCATCAGTGAACATTTTAGTCTTACTTTTAAACTCTAAAAAAGGTTATACGATTGATTAAAAATGTTTTCCATTCGTATTCTTTTCAATAGACTACGGAAAACAATTATATTTGCTACCATCTTATACTAAATCACGTAGAACATGAGTCGAAAATCATATATTCATATGAAAATATCCAAAAATTGATGACAATTCTCTGGTAACTGACTAATTCCAGAAATCAGAAGACCGAGAATTTCTTCGCTCAACGATACATGATTTATCATCATATCTAACAGATCTAATTAGACTTTCATGAGAACTATCCATATACATGTAGAGGAACATTGTTAAATCATCAAATCCTTTTTCAAATATCTAAATGTTCTTTTTTCTGTGAAGGTGATTATTATGTTCTTAATGGAAGTAAATTTTGGATTACAAATGGACCAGATGCAGATGTACTTGTTGTCTATGCAAAAACAGCTCCAGATAGTGAAAAACCTCAACATGGCATATCAGCATTTATTGTTGAAAAAGTATGAAATCATTTAAATAAATATATTAATAGATTAATATGAAAAATATTTTTAGAATATGGAAGGTTTTTCAGCAGGAAAAAAACTTGATAAAATGGGCATGCGTGGATCAAATACATCTGAACTTATATTTGACGATTGTAAAGTTCCAGGTAAAGAAATAAGATATATATTTATAGATAATTGTCAAAATTTAACATCTTCTTTTATAGCTAAAAATTTACTTGGCAAAGAAAATCGGGGTGTTTATGTATTAATGAGTGGTTTAGATTTTGAACGTCTTGTACTCGCAGCTGGTCCGATTGGGTAAGATTTATATTATCATAAATGTTTTCTGTCTTAAGATTTTGGTTTCTTCAAAAATCTCTATGTAGCTAATATTTTACATAAGGAAAAGTTCTTTTTTCTCAAATCTTCTAGAATATAACTTCTGACTAAATACTTTTATTTTCAAAAAGAATTGTCGAAGATGAAAATGATAGTGTCTGAAAAACCGAAAGTCAAGTCGTACATATTCTGGAATTCGCAAATAGATCTTTGTTTCAATCAATAAATAGGATTCAGCAAATAAATCTCTACAAAATGAAGTGTCTCAAAGATCTTTACGGCATTGTTTGACAGAGATTCTTTAATTTAATGGAAAGCACGAAAGTTCTTTTTTCTGCTATTTTCATCATTTAAACATAATGACTTTGGAAATATCAAAATAATTAATGTCATGAGTCATAAATTCTGCTCAACTTCATTTTGTTATAATATTTCGGCTCAGAGTAGGCGAGATCGAGTTTTTTTACTAATACCCATTCAAACATATAGTGGAAATTTAGAATCGTGCGTCATTATAAGTAACACAATATATGGTCATCATATCTATTTTTTTTCGAGACTTTAAAAAAATCAAGAGTATAGTCTTAAATTATAACGGTTATTAAATTGAAATTGTTTTCTGTCTGTAGTTTAATGCAAGCTTGTTGTGATATTACGTTTGAATATGCGCATACTCGAAAACAATTTGGTAAACCAATTGGTACTTATCAAGTAAGATCCGCTTCTGTTTTTTTTCTATTTTTGAAAAACAACTAAATAATTTCTAGTTGATACAAGCAAAAATGGCTGATATGTATACAATATTAAATGCTTGTCGTTCTTATTTATATACAACAGCAAGAGCAGTTGATAAAAAAATTATAAGTAATAAGGTAAAAAGAATAAAACTTTCTCTTTCTATACAACATAAATTATCGTTTTATCTAGGACTGTGCTGGTGTTATATTATATTGTGCTGAAAAAGCTACACAAGTATGTCTTGATGGTATACAAGTTCTTGGTGGTAATGGATATATCAATGATTATCCAACAAGTCGTCTTCTACGTGATGCTAAATTATATGAAATTGGTGCTGGTACAAGTGAAGTTCGACGACTCCTTATTGGACGTTCTATTAATGGAGAATATGGAATAAAATCCTAAATATATAAAATTTATTTTTCCTTAACATGAAACAAAAAAACACCTAGATATCTTTATATGTTAGTTTTTTGATAATGATATTTTCCGTCAATAAATGATCATTTGTCAAAAAATAAAAAATAGAGAGACAAATGAACATCGATCATTGAACACGAAAAAAACAGAATTTTTTTGTCTGAGGAAAATCTTATTTAACAATCAACTATCAATCAAAAAAAGCATCTGTTGGCGACTTCAGTTCATGTTTGGAATTATTGTAATAAAAGATTCTATTTCTGTATCAATTTGTACCATCCATGTTCACATGAGTTATTCTCTTAACTGTAAAAAAAAAAGGTACATGTTGCATTTATAATTATTATAGTATAATACTCAATCGGTATGAAGAATCGGTTAGTGTGTGGATTTAGAAGTAAAGAATGAGTTTTGAATAATCTATACAGAGAACTATCAGATTAATCAACTCAACGATATTGTCAAAGCTAAAGTTGATTTCAATTTGTTATATTATAGACATACTTAGTTATCATATAAAGTCTTGTAGACATTCAAAAGTTGTTAAACAATGACAAAAAAAATTTAGTTGGTATGCTTAACAAGCAAGCTCTTAAATAGGCAATGAGTTTTTATATAATAACTCGGTAAAGATACTGGTGCAGAAATTTTTCTATTTGTTGTCGTATCTTGATTTATATCAATATGTTGACACTGATACAAAATTAGTAGTGATTGCAATTCAGTACCGTGTAAAGGACTTGAGATAGCTCTGTGCATAGTTTTTGAATAGTATTTGATAGGAACAAGAGAGAGAACTCTGACTTTCACCGTCGGAAAGCTGAAATGAAGATGCATCGAACCGTATGTTATAATTTTTTGTGAACTGGTTTTTCTTGAAGATTTTCAATCGTCTGGGGTACATTCGAATTCCTGATCGAAGATTCCTAAAGTTGTGCACGGTTGATTTGTTCAGATTAAATTATTCAAGCGCTATAATCTATTCTTTCCAACGATGAAAATTCCAGTTTCCATCTCGTATCTATTACAAGTTATTCAAAAAAAGTGTCTACTTGCCTTATTTTTTTTTCTTTAAAATGAGCATTAATGCTATCGTCACACTTCGCTACAAACAATAATTATAGAAATTTTATTACTATCGTATTATTTTGAACAATGATGAAATATTTAAGAAATATAAATCATTGTTTTTATTGCCACTGCGACAATGAAACGAATACTGTAATCTTTTTTTTAGAAGTAGAAGACTCGACCATATTTTCAGATTATTTTATTTCAACCATTATGTTTAAATGCATCGTATCGCATTGATTCTCGAGAGAATTGTAATAGATGACGCTTCTATATCGTCAACATAAAGTATTCTCTCAAAGTCAACTATTATAGTTTATTCTTGCTCGTTCTCTCTCACACAACTAGTGAATTTTTCCCCAAATTCCTAGCTCACTATATACCATTCAGTTTCGTTTTTTGTATTATACCATTTGCATCTACTTTCGTATCATTGATAATATGGTTAGATCATTCATATAAGAAACTAGGTGCTGCATCCTTTTGTTATGCTGTAATACGTTGTATGAACGAAGCGTATTTCTTCTTGTACAAAGAAAAGCGACCATTCAGTATTAGGTCGTTGACCGTAGTTTCTTTTTATCAAATATCGTAGTCCAACAATAATAGTTTATATAAATGAATCCGCAAATGTGAAGAATGAACGAAATGTCACGGTTGGTAGTGAACTCATCGCTCGTTGTAAGTTTTAAATTAGCATCCATCTTGATTCTATTATAGCAGTAGAAAGTTTGTCTAAGATCTATGATGAATTAAAATCAACACACTGTAAAAATTTGCTTATTCTCTGTATGTATTGATGCCCACTGTGCTTATATCAAGATCAAATCTTTGAATGCGTTAGCTGACACTGATTCTGATTGAAATAAGTTTACCATA